GGGGGGTTGGCCAGAGGGGTTGGGTTGGGTACAAAGATTATGCCTAGCTAGGTTTGAGGAGTATTTGTATGGCTTTTCTCTTGAATCCCACATGTTTTTAGTTGTGAGTGGGCATTTGTTTGGTTCTCCTAAATGATCATGCGTATAGTCTAGTTTTCTATGCTTCTGAATGTTTGTGCCATCCTTCTTTCTTTCTAATTTTCGGTAAACAACAAACATGTACAGATTTCAAAAAAAGATGGAAAAGTTTCTGACTCGCTGTCATCTTTGGGAGCTGTGACTGGCATCAAGGGTGAAATTGATCAACCACCAATTGCAGAGCAAGGTGCTTATTATCCACCTGCTAGCTATTGCGATTACTACTACCCAGGTCAGATATTGAATTGGTTTTGTTATTGTTCCTTTAGTTTTCGAATAAGCTCCTATTTCACTCATGATGGACAGATCATAGAAAAAAGTATGCTGCAAAAGTATTTGTTATTGATCAGACTTGCACAGACATAACTATTGTTATCATTACCACTTTAATACAATTCGGTATATAAAAATACAAAAAAATCTTGATTGAAACTTGTTCTTTTTCTTGTGAAAATTAAGTGTGTATCTTATTCATATAGGTATTTACTGTAAGATGTTAATTTTTTTCTTATTGTGCCTTTAAGTTTTGTTGAAGCACAAGTTAAATTAAGGGGGATGAGCTTCTCAGACAGCTGTCGCAAGTGCTGAAAAGTCCGCAGATTAGCCTAAGTTTGCTACATTCTATAAGGGTTGGCTTATGATAAACTATATTTTTAGGACATATTTTATGTACTCTTTAAGAGAGATTGCCACATCCTTCAGTACTTGTTTACGGATTGTGGCGCATACTATATTTTCAATTGTTTACTCCTTATTCCTTAACGTTGATCTGTGGACTTACTTGCTTTGCTATTAAATTATCTATTAGAATTGTTTGGATGATAACGTGTAATTTGCTGCTTTTTGCAGGCTATAACGGGGCTTTTAATCAGTTAGACGATCAAGGTTACTTTAATGCGGTTAGTGCTACTTCTCTAATACGCAAATTATTTTAAATTGCTTTGTTGCCTGACAACTAAATACAATCTGGTGATTTTCAGGGTATTCAATCAGATAATGGTTCCCTTCTCTACTATCTTCCTGGCTATAATCCTTACAGTGCTGGATTTGTGGGAGGCGATGGGAAGCAGTCTTATCTATCATCTGGATATCTTCAACAACCTGTCTCATATGGTTCAGAGTCCTTGCCATGTTATACATGGGGTTCGACATACTGTGCAGATACCAATAGTGCTGCTCCCAAATCTGGGAATGTTAAATCAACGTTTGGCCGAAATGGTTCAGACAAGTCAAATGGTTTTAATTCCACAAAAACAAATAGTTCTTTCGCAAGCAAAAACTCGGCCGTGCTGTTTAACCCAAAGACTCGACAGTCTACTGCTGCGTCAAATCTGCCAAAGTCTAACCATCAAGCTCAGCCTTTCAAACCAGCTAACAAGGTTTGTATAATGTTTCCCTGAATGAGGAAACCTATGTTAAAAGGGCTCTTAAGTTCTTCGTTTCCTGATGTCTTTTCGCATGTCATGAGTGCTGAATTGGGAGTATGATTTCTCTTTTTGTCGCTTTAACATGTTTTAATCTCTTTATGTTGGCAGTTTCGGCCCGATATCCAGTCTGGAGGCCTGATTAAAGGGTTTCATATGGCTGGGGATTTCCCATCATACACCAGTCAAAATCAAGGTTTTTTCATGCCGTATGATCCCACTAACTACCAAACAAATGGTAGAATGTGGAATGGGAATTACAGATTCAAATCACGGGGAAATTTCACCAGAAATGGTGTGTTTGAGGCCTCAACTGAGTTACCTCGTGGTCCCCGCGCAGACAGCAGGAGCAGTCCTTCAAAACCATCTGCTGAGGAGGACCAGCTTGGGCCAATTATTCAGAAGGAGAAGTATAACAAAGAGGATTTCAAGACTCAGTACGATAATGCCAAGTTTTATGTTATCAAGTCATACAGTGAAGATGATATTCACAAGTGTGTCAAATATGATGTATGGTCAAGTACTCCTAACGGGAACAAGAAATTGGATGGTGCCTTCCGTGATGCTGAGGGTAAAGCAAGTGGAGCTGGTTCAAGCTGTCCAGTGTTCCTCTTCTTTTCAGTAAGTTATACTCTGTCTCATGTTTCTTCCGTTGCAAGTAAATATTTACCTCTGAGTGTGATTTGTTTTCATTTGTGCACGCGTCTTTTAAATGGATGTTCTGTATAAAAGCTCATTCCTTTACCCCTATTTTTGTTAGAAACAATTTTATATGTGATGGGTGGTCTTGATGTAACTTACTGCGTTTTTTGTCTATGGAATTTCAGGTAAATGGAAGTGGACAGTTTTTAGGTGTAGCTGAGATGGTTGGGCAGGTTGACTTCAACAGAAACATGGACTTTTGGCAGCTTGATAAGTGGAGCGGGTTCTTCCCAGTGAAGTGGCACATAGTTAAAGATGTCCCTAACACACAGTTCAGGCACATTATCCTCGAAAACAATGATAATAGACCTGTGACCTATAGCAGAGATACTCAGGAGGTATGCTTTCATACCATTTTGGCTATTCCTATAGTGGGTTCTTTTAGTATTTGGTTCAGTTTATGTCTCTGATTGGAATGACAGAATTTGAATTTGAAGTTAAGGTTTTGTCTCTAAATTTGTTCCCTCGTCTCTCAGTTTCTGTATTGTTTCTTAATGATGCTGGCTTTCCAGATTGGGCTGAAGGAAGGTATGGAAATGCTTAACATATTTAAGAGCTACTCGGAGAGGACATCTATATTGGATGATTTTAATTTCTATGAAAAGCGTGAGAAATTGCTCAAGGCTAAAAGGAGTACAAAACCAGCTGGTCAAGCTGATGTATTCGAGAAAACTGATTCTCTTGTGAGTTTCTGTCTCTTCTTGTGCATTTAGAAAATCTTGAACAAGTAGCGCAGTACTGCATTTTAGCTGAATACTTCATGTAAAGCTTTGGACACAGTTGTTTATGTTTGAAGCACACTGCATCAAAGAACAGTTAATGTCTGGACAATATTGTTAGTGTTTAGCAATGCTTGTCAAATATCATTATGATTTTAATGTTACTATGGTGCAGAAGCAATTCAAAGGAGGAGATAAGATACTTGAGGAGGAGCTGAAGACCAACTCGTCTGGTCCAACTGCGTCTCTTGTTTCTCTCACCAAAAACCTCTCAATTAATTCAAGGCCATTCAAAAGTAGTGTGTGAATCATAGGCGTCACTATGCCTCCAAGAGGCAATCTTATGACTAGGTAGTCCTGAAGCATCAAAGGCGTCCCTATTTCCCCTTGTGTTTTGCTTTTGTTAATTAGGCATATAGGCATACTCGTTCCGTTGGTGGCTTCTGGGATGGCTGTACTAGTCTCTTTTGTTAGTTTTTATCTCATCTTTAAGAAAGGAAAAGGGTTCAGTTTCTTTTCAATTGTCTTTTGCGATGTCTGTTTCTTTCTACTTTGTGTTTTAGATTTGCAGTATTGATGAAATGTTAAAAGCAAAAGATGACCTCCCCAGCGTGCAATCCTAGCTATTATATTACAATGGAGCTAATAATTTAGCTCTATTATGTTTCCTTTTTAGTCTATCATATTACTTAATGCGCTGACTGATTGCAGAGGGACTTGTTTAGACTTGTCCAAAAGTTTTCTGAGTATACGTGTTTAGAATTTGTTCAATTTGTTTTCCCTCATTCTTGTTGGTAACATGGGAGGATCGTTGAACTACTAAGTGGGCGTTTGGACATAAGAATTGTAAAATTCCAAAAAAAAGCGGTGAAAATGGTATTTGAAAATTAGAGTTGTGTTTGGACATGAATATAATTTTTGGTTGTTTTTGAAGTTTTGTGAGTAATCTAAGTGAAAATTTTAAAAAAACAGTTTTTTGGAGTTTTTTAAAATTTCGAAAAATTTTAAAATAAATCTTTAAATTGAAAATTTTATGAACAAACGCTTATTTTGAAAAAAATTGAAATTTTTGAAAAAAAGGAGAAAGTATTGGAATCCTGCATCTCCTTGCTTAGATTGGATAAAAGTACATAATTAGTATTTTTTGTAAAGCCTGTATTTATTTTGATAGTCTATTCATTAGAGTAACTTCTTGGCCTCATCCCCACTTGTGTCACACTAGGTATAAAAAAAAAGGGCAATCCAGTACACTAAGTTCTCGTTATGCGCGAGGTCCGGACCACAAGAGTCCTGGTCATATGACATCAACTTACCGATTACTACTGGGTATATTAAATTTATTATTAGGGAAGGGTTGAGGTTAGGACCATCATGATGGTTCAAAATATTCAAAAGCGAAATGCCGTAATGTCGTATAGTATATTACAAAAATTAATTAATTGGTAACTTGATAAAACTGATAATTAGCCTGATATCACAAGTAAGAATTCGTCATACAATGTAGGTTTACGTAACTTGAATTCATATCATTATTACAAATATTCTAAATTATTTAACACCTTCAATGGGGGAAAGTAGTGCACTGACGCATAAGTCTAGATCTTGAATGTTGAAAATGTTGATTTATAATTTCCTTCTCACTGCGTTTGAACTATGAGCTTATTCTTTTTTCTAAGAGTTTCTACCTTACCAATATATGTGGCAATAGATTAAAATAAAAAAAGGATTTGAAGTGTCAAAGGCATGATAAGCTTCTAAAAATAGAAATAAAAAACAAGTCCTAAAATATCTCTATAGGACCAGTACTACTTCAAAACACTAAAACAAAAAGGGAGAACCTTAAATATAACAAAAATAGTTAGTAATACATCGGTTGATGATAGAAGAAATTGTTTCATTCTGACTAAAGCAGCAACATACTTTCAAGGCTGAAGGAAGATCTAGTGCCTCAAATAAGATGATAGTTTTAGTTTCTCGTCTTGCTCGTTCTCCTTCATAGGATGGTACATTTGGGGCAAAGCACTCGGCATGATTATGTATGGAGTTGGCTGCAGGATTGTTGGAGCTACATAAGGTGATGAATATGGCATTTGACTATTAAGCATCATGTTATGAGACATCATTGTCTCATACTTCATTAATGCACACCTCATATTATTGCTGCCAATGCCATTGGAGGAAGAAGATGATGATGCACCATTATATTGCCAATCATTCTCATTCATCATTAACATCATCATTTCTTGATGATTAATGATGGAATTACAATAAGGATAAATTGCAGCTTGTTCTTGATTATTATTTATGAAATTACCTCCATATTCCATTCCTCCTTGTACCAATAGAGGATTAACATTATCATTGTTATTAGTCAATTGGCTTAATCCTTCACTGGAAAAATTCCCTTTGAGCAAATCAATTCTAGACTTCACTTTTTCAACTTTGTCATCCAATAAAGTTAAGAATTCCCTTAACTTAACTTCAGATAACTGGTTCATGAACTCTAGCCAACATGGGTATTTTTTCTGCATGTTCTTCTTTCTCAACTTGATCAACTCTTCCTCAACTTTCTTGTTTCGATTGAGGAAATAATCAGACAATCCAAAGGTTTTTGTACTACTCTCCTTCTTGTATTCGTCGATGAGATTCTGAATCTCTTCAACTTGTAAGGTTTTATTAGTACTAGTACCAGATTGCATGCTATTGTTTGTCCAAATCTCAGGCTCAGAGTTGGATCCATTGTTTTGTTTAGGTCCATACATGATCATACATCCATTCACATTGCAAAGAGTTGTAAATTCATACAACTTCTTCATTAGTCCTTCTTTCCTTTTCTTGAATGTTGCATTCCTTGCTTTCTCTTTGCTTATTAGTTCCATCTTCAGTTTTGCACGCCCCATCTCCCCTTTCTTGATCTAGCACAATTTAAACAAAAATCTTCAAGATGGGAAAATATTGCTTTGAATCTCTCCCCATAATGGAGAAATACAAACAGAAACTCAAACAAAAGATTCGCCTAAAACAATAATAAGATGTTATCTAACGTTTATACAATAACAATAACTACACCTCGGTCCCAAACAAGTTGGTGTCAGCTATATTATGAAACTTTATTGACATGTTTCTCCATAAAAGCTCAACTATATATGTTATTTAACTTTCTACTAAGAGAATACTATAATAAAAATCTAAAAAACAAGAGTAATGTTTTTGGACTTTTTTCTTTTTTTTTTGGGATCTGTTTAGTTGTTTATTTTAACGTTCGTGCATGTTGAAAAAAGTGAAGTTTGTAATGGTAATATTTCTTTCGGAGATAAGGAACACAAAATTGGGAAAACAATATATTCATAATAGCAAAGCCATGATTAAAAGCCAAAGATGTTAAGTATAGAAAGAGCAAGAACTAATTGAAGAAAGTACCTTTTGGAGTTCTTGGAAAGAAAGGAACTTCTTTCAACCTTTTATAAAAGGGGAGAAAAGGATTTCTTTACATGAATGAAGGTGTTCGTATGCATCAATTAATTAATGCTTGTTGTATAGAAAAGCTACCAAAGTTTACCAATTTTTTAAAAGGAAAGTGCGCGTCAATATTTAATTTAGTATCCTATTAATTGATTTTCTTAGATTCTTACTTGATCACAAATCTGTTTGGTCAAAATTAATTGAAATTTACCATATTTATAGAACATTCAAATTTGTAATCGTATGGTACAAAACTCACTAAATAAATAATTTGTTGTTCGAAATGATAGTTGGAGAAAAGTTTATCAATGTACTAGTGTCTAACTTACAACTTATTTGGATGGTGGTTACCTACCCTATTCTATGTATTATTACTTTAAATATAATATTTGTTTAGATTGTTATTCTCGTATCATTAAATTTGTCGTTATGTAACGACAAAAAGTGTCACTTTATGGAACAGTCGATTTGGTGTGGTCGCGTCGTTCCTTATTTTTTCTCTCATCTTGTCCTTTTTTATTACGTATTAAATAAATTTATTTATCCTCTACTCGCCTTTTTATATAATAATTCTACACCGTACCTTACTTTTTCTTTATAATCTTACAAGTTTATTCTTCAAATTGTTGGTGCATGACATCATGAAACGACGACAAATAATACGATCTATCCAAATAATGTATACATCAAATCGATATAGTATAATATAATACAATACTTTGCGATACATTATTAAATAATACATAATAACTCCAAACAAACCGTTAAGTAAATAAGAAGGCGGATACTTCTTTAAAAAGAAATTGCATATTAGACATACTACAAAGAAAGAGCGCAGTAGATGATACCATCCAGACTCCTCTTTTTATTTTATTTTTTTTGGGGTTTCCCATCTCGTCAAGTGTCCGATATTTGTATTGGAACTCGATTAAATTCGCGTATAAAAATCTCATATTGATAGGTAAAATACATCGTAACAAAGATAACTCGATACTCAGGACTCTTCTAATTCTATTATATCATTAGACATCCTTAAAGCCACTACGCAAATTAGGAGTAGAAGTTTATGCATATCCCTGGTTATTTGCATGTTCCTCTTTTTTTGTTGGGTCAAAATGTTCTGTTTAATAAGTGTGAAGAAACACTGTTTTTATTAAGTTTAAAAAAACAAACACAAAAAAGGGGCAACCTAGTGTACAAGGTATCTCACGTTCACGGTAAGATTCGGGAAAGGGTTGCACTCCCCTTGCAAGCATTAATAGCCTAATGCAAGCATTCGGGAAAGGGTTGCACTCCACGTTTACCCTAATGCAAGCATTAATAGCCTCTTTCACATCTCGAACCCCGTAACCTACATTTCACATGGAGACAACTTTCACATTTCTGCAAGGCTCTCCTTTTTAAGAAAACACTGTGTAAAGATATATGTGTCCAATATTTAGAGTTTTCTTAGTCTCATTATCAATAGTCAATGTCTAATGCAGATATAAACATCCGATCAATTGGTTTTGGTAGAATTTCCTTGCAAAGGATAATGCTAATTTGGTTTGGATTAGTTCCCCCAAACCCAAACCCCACCATCAAAATTTCTAATTTAGAATTGTAGGATTTTTTTATTTTTTTTTCAAAATTTGAATTACTTTATTGCACGATATTTCAAAATTACAAATCTTTTTAACAAAATAATCACAATTACAAGTTACAGTGCGTTGAATAACTTTCTAAAAACTAACTTCAAACCTTAAAAATAAAACGTACGTGATGCTTAAATTACTAAGTATTCACTTTGATGACATCTATAATAATTCTTTTACACAGACATGCAAAGTCAAACAGTCTGTTGTTCTTTTTAAATTAAACTCGAAATAATATGAACGAGACTCAGGTCCATATTAATAGAGAGAGTCCACCCGCTAAAAGTGATCGGGACGANGATCGCGCATCGCGCTGGTACGAATACTAGTATATATAATAAGTAAAAAGTAGTCGTCGGCATTCTATATATAAACGACTTGACTGAGTCTACGAAGCTTTGTTTTTCTTGTAGTCGGCCCGTAATGCCTCCCTTCATTTGCTTGCCTCCTTTCACCTCATAATGCCTAAGGAAGTAGAGTAGTCAAGCCACTGAGGAAAAAAATGCAAGAAGCAGTTTCTGTTCGATCGACGGAATTAATCATACTTTCACACCTGTTGACCGACTTTCATAAAGCACCTTTGGGCAGCAACAATAATTGAGGCTTAGCCTATCCAATATTCGATTCAAAAAGAGTTTTTATTTGATGATTTTCCTCTCTCTGTATAAAGTAAGTCCCGGTGTTGGGCAGACTTCGCTTGCTTGCACGACCGCCACACTCCTCTTTGCTTTCAAAAGTAAAATATTTCTTCGCTATCTTTCTTTGAACTCCTAGGCAACGGATCCTACTCCTTAAGAATAGTCATTAAGAAAGAGGGATCCATTTAAAGGAATTCATGCCGATTACCTAACTTCGGGGCGGAGCTCGTCTCCTTACAGTCAAGCGGCTTCCACTTCTCATAGAAAGTTAGAAAGCGTCAGTTCTCATAGCGAGGCTTAGGCCGACGGGGCAGGTTACTGTTCAATATAATATGAATATACCACATCAATTCGTTATGTATGGATGATGAAATTCCATTGATAGAGAGCCAATTCCAATAGACTTATTGGAGGGGTTCTATAAGACTTCCTTCTCGTTCTCGGTGAAGGAATTGGAGCTTCTATAGAATCATCATCTTACTCTTTAACGACAAGCTCAGCAACGAGAAGTTTTCCTCTGCTGGAAAGCAGTCCTTCACGGATATGGGAGCTTACTCCAGCTTTGTTGTACCTCACGCCCGTCTTCAATGGGGTCTGCTTTTTTTTTTTTTGGGAGAGTATGCCAATATGATCTTAATGAGGTGCGGGGAAAACTTTTGTTTGGCTTGCGGGCTCGGGGACTACAATTAGTTGCTTCCCTTGTAGTCGTCAGCTCGTTCTTGATAGATCCGATCGGGTGTTCATAATTTGGAGTAAAGGGATTCGAACCTTTTCATGCTGGTACCAAAAATCGATGGTCGGTGCAAGGCCAGAGATTGGAACACATTGATTTCGCTCTTTCTCGTCCTTCACTTCAGGTCCTGTCCCTCGAAACTTTCTGTGTCCTATGCCGTCATCACTAATCATTCCCCTTCTCTTTGCATTTCTTGATTGGAGAGAGAAAAAAAAAGAATAAGAAAGGAGCGTAGCATCCAGACAGAGAAATAAATCCGAGTTTACCCCTTGCACTTCGGACAACCGTTCGTAGCATCATAAGGAGGACCCCATTGTTATGTCGAGGGAGAGGCAAACCCGAAAATAAAGAAGATAAAGAACACCTAATTTTAACGTGGAAAACCCTTCAAATCGAAGGTAAAAACTAAGGGATCACAAAGATCCAAAAAGCTCCACTATAACAATAAGAGGATTACAAAAGTTCTCCAAATTGGCTACACAACAAGTGCCAAACACAGAGCAACAATAGCAACAAGAGCAACGACAAATCAATTGAAGAAAGATGAGAAGCCACAAAACTTGAGCTGTTGTTCGGGGCTCGAAAGCATATGCTACGATCCTCCAAATCCGATATTCACCGTTCAAAGCAAATTCCAAGATGTTACGAACACACAGTTAAAATTTCATCCCGATCCAACTGTTAACGAATAGGAAAACATGATTTGAAATTGGCTGGTCGGAATAAAAATCTGCAGCAAAACAAATACTTTTCTTCTCTCCTCTCTCTTGATGAAAGTTCTCTAAAAAATCACTCTTATGTACTTAAGACTTGTACCAATGAACATAAAATAATTCTCCAAGAGTACAGTACATAGGAGGTTGGTCTTTCTCAACATGGTGTATAACACATAATGGAAGGGCAAAAAAGGATTCTGTACAAAACTCATCCTAATCTCCGTTAATTTACAGTCAAAATATTACCTTGTGTGAGAGCACATGCTCTTATAAGCGCGTCTAGCTTTCTACCGGTGATGAATGTGGCTTAAGTTCTAAACTTGTCGTATGACCTACAGTTGGATTAAACTAGATTAGATAGAAATATTAGAAAAAGTTTCCAATTTGGAAATTATTTGAATTTTCAGTTTCTGGTTTCTGACTTAAGGTAAATTATTGGGTTCACTGAAGATCCTGACGATGCATCTTAATTTTGTTGGTGGTGCAAAAATTATGGATCCTTAAATCATAAGTGGCCCTAATAGAATCCTAATTAAGACGAAATGACTGGTAAGTCCTTTCCAAATTTATTTTTCACAGTGAGGCCTCATAGCACGAAGAAAGAGGAGCCCTTATTTTTCTTTAAAAAAATGTAAAGATGAGAAAGAAGAGCCTCTCGCCAGTGATATTAGAATAAAGTACATCTGAAAGATGATTTGCACTGCTACCATAAAAATT